CAACTTATTCAGATTAATTTTTTGTTGTGTTGCCCCATATCAGGTTACAGTAATTTAAGTGAGAACAAATTAATGCATTATATATAGTTAATTTCATTCGAGTAGGAAGTAAACTTTTAAACTTTGTAAGTAGGCCTACATTTTTAGATAGTTTTGCTTGCACAGAGTCTATGTGTGCATTCCAGCTCCTATTATAAGAAAAAAACACACCCAGAGTTTTAATACAATCTACAAACTCAATTTCTTCATTGTTTATTGTAAGATGAGGTAGGTTATTTATTTTCCTATTTTTGGGCCTAAACAAAATAGCTTTGGTCTTTTTACAGTTTAATTTTAGTTTGTTGGTGTTAAGCGTCCAGGTGGCGATTTGTTGTAGCACTTCATGCACTGTAGCAATGGAAGTACAAAAATTGTTATGGGAGAAGAAAATTCTTGTATCATCAGCGTAAATTATCAGCTTTACATCATCGCTTTTGGCCATATGCACAATGTCGTTTATGTATAATATAAATAGCAATGGGCCTAAAATGCTACCCTGAGGAACACCCGATTTGATAGAAAGCCTGTCCGAATGAAAATTCAGAAAAGACACGTATTGATTCCTATTTTCTAAGTATTATTTTATGAGATCGACGCCTCTTATTCCAAAAAATGCTAATTTGCCAAGTAAAATATCATGATCGATGGAATCAAAGGCTTTTGAGTAATCAAGAAAGATGCCCAGTGTCATCTTTCTTTCGTCAAAAGCTTTCACAGTTTGTTCTTTCTGGTTTAATAAAGCCAATTCGGTAGATCGATGTTTACGAAAACCGAATTGCGCATCGGCAATTAAAGCGTGCTTATCAAGATGTGTTATGAGTCTATTGTGTATTAGTTTTTCAAGTGATTTAAAAAAGACAGGAAGGATTGAGATGGGCCTATAGTTATTTATGTCAAGCCTATCACCGCCTTTATGAAGAACACTAATTTTTGACAGCTTCATTCTTAGGGGAAAACAGCCTGTTTCTAATGCGAGGTTATATATGGATCTTAATTATGGTGCAATAATATCGCGACTCGGCGACGCGTTAACGCGACTCGGCGACGCGTTAAAAACTGTCGCTTCCCTCCATTCATTATTTTTAAGCTTCCCCTATATTTGCCCCGGCTACAATGCAAATAGCTGCTGCTCAAATTATTATGCACGCGTTGTAAAGGGTCAAGAAGTCAAGAAAACAGCGAGAGAAAAAACATGGTACTGGCCACAAATTCTCAGCATGGTTGTTCGCGAAGTGACCTTAAAATATTCAGTTTGACATCAGCTGCGATGACTTGTAGCGGAAGTCATAAAATAAAGCGGCTATTGAAGGATTTGCGGACAATGGCCAAATAATTATAGGAGTTGTTCTCCGACACTTCTGAAGTAAAGAACAGAAAAGCGATTTAGTCTGTGTGCCCTAATTGTGATTTTAAACAATAGCAAAGATTCAAGTTTCCGGTACCACTCAACTTTCCGAATGACGTGCTCAGTGACGTCGACGTGAGGATGCACCGGTTTCCGTGCGCTCTCCTCAAGGATGTTTACCGTGTTTACTCTTTCTCTCTCTACTGCTCTTCGTGAGGCGTTGAGCTGCAGCAATCCCCGCGTCACCGTCAAGGCGCGTTTCCCATGGCCGCCGCGCACGGCTGCAGAGGGTAAATATTTCCATTTCTGCTTTGCGATTACACAACAGAATTGCAACATTTTGCAGGAAGGTGATACTTTTTCGATTCTTTCTGACGCCATCAACATTATAAAAATTACAAGCCACCCAAACTGAATTAGCGCCTCTTTTTCCTTCCGTTTTGTTTCTTGTTTCTTTCTTGGGAGGGGGTCGAAAGAATATTTCTTTCTTATTTGGCGTTCTCTTTTTGCTCGTCATTCACCACTTTACCGTGCGTGCATGATCACTCGGAAGGAAGCCCAAGGCTGCCTCGAGTACGCGAATACAAGTTCTACAATTTCTTGTTGAACTTATTGTAGAACGCAGTTCTACAATAAGTGACAGTTTTTAACGCGTCGCCGAGTCGCGGGAAGGATATGCGCGAACGGCGCGTGCCGCGGAGCACGCGAGCTCGTCCCGAGCGGTGAGCGAGGCTCTCGGAATCTTGGTTCCCAGGGCGGCACCTAGCGCCCATTTAATCGCTCAGGAGCGCATCGCGTTGAAGCGAGCGAACCAGTGGGCCAGCAGATAAGAAAGGACGCGCGTGCGCATTGCGCGGGTCTCGGCACCAGGCGCCGCGCCGTCAGGGAGCGCGGCGATGCAATTCGGTCGGCGCTCCCGTGTTGTCCAGACTTTTGCTCACGACAGTACCAACATTTACAAAGAACTTATTGAAAGCATTTGCCATGTTCACTTCTTTTACTGTAATGGAGTTTATACTTATTTCATGGGGCACGTTTTGATATGGCTTATGATTCAGTACTGACCGTATCTTCTTCCACAAAATGTCAGGTTTCTTAGTTTCTAACAGATCGAAAAGATTATTGTAGTAGTCACGCTTAGCATTTCTTAGCAGACTTGTGAGTTTGTTGCGGTATTTTTTTAAAGGTTTCAAGCTTGCTAATCTCTTTTGTTCGTAAAAAATTTTTGATATAAATTAGTCTTAACCCGTATCATTGAGAGTAGCTTTGGCGTGACCCAAGGCCTACGTGACTTCTTAGATGCCTTGAGGTTGACAAAAGGAAAATGCCTACTATAAATTGCAGTAAATGTATCGAGGAATGAATTGTATGAGAATACATTTTAGCGCTCAAAAAACAGGGACAAAGAGGCGAGAAACAGACAGCACAGTGCGCACTGTGCTGTCACAGACAGCACAGAGCGCACTGTGCTGTCTGTTTCTCGCCTCTTTGTCCCTGTTTTTTGAGCGCTAAAATGTATTCCAAATTCCAAAACCAACTAGCCCAGCAATCGACTCTACTGAAATTTATTTCTTGTACAACGGGCCCTTTTATTTGTTCTTCGTTGAAACCATGCTCCATTGAGCGCACTGTGCTGTCTGTTTCTCGCCTCTTTGTCCCTGTTTTTTGAGCGCTAAAATGTATTCCAAATTCCAAAACCAACTAGCCCAGCAATCGACTCTATTGTATGAGAAATTTGTTGATTTTGTTGAAAAAATATGTTCCCAAGATGTCTTTTCAGTTTCTTCTCGAAAACTACGCGATTGATCAGGGGTGATAGACTGAACTTTAACCACTGGAACAGGGTCACTGCGGTTTTTCTGGGACTACTCACTGTACAAGCAAAAATAAATGGGAAGATTATTGCTGATATCAGTAGAAAGAACACCTGATGATACCACCGATTTTTCATAGTTCGTGATGAACAAATCAAGCATAGAAGATGACGTATTTGTTAATCATGTAGGATGTGTGATAACATGCGACAACCCATTTGAAGCAATAAGATTTGAGAAAGAGATTTTTTGACCAGAGTTCGAAATCATATCAATGTTGAAGTCACCACCCATAATTACCTTGTAATTGTTATCATTGACATAATTGAACGATGTCTCCGCAAAATTAAAAAAAAAAAAAACGGTATGACCGGAGATTTCGATGGCTTATATACAATGGAGAGCAGCGTATTTTTAAAATGTACAGTTACAACCTTATAAAAATCAGTAATTTAGCAGAACGATTTTAATATCTCACAATTTCTTTCATTTTTTACCAACTTAGCAACACCACCGCCTGGCCTATCATTTCTATTTAGGTTGAAATGAGAATATCCCGGAAGCACGAAGTAATCAGTCGAGTCTTGACTGATTTAGTGGCTTTCCATGATGCTCTGCAAGTTTCTACTTTTTAGAACGTACGTTTATTTCCACGTATTAAAAAGCTAATTAAGAAAGGTTAGTTAATTATTTAATTTATTATGGGAATTAGCCTCCTATAATATGTTCCCCTGGCCGCATAACTCACCTGCACAAATCGCATTAGTATACCTTTCACAGATTTTTTTAGGAGCGAAGCTCCTTAGGGTCTAGCCTTGTCCGGCGTCCGTGCTCACATCGATTGCCATCCCATCTGTCTTCTTAAAAAATGGAAAAAAAGGTTTGCGCAGTCGACAGGATTCGAACCTGTGCGGGGAAACCCCAATGAATTTCTAGTGCATCGCCTTAACCACTCGGCCACGACTGCGGGACGAGTAGGGGGCTCTGGATGTGGTAGCAACTCAAGAACTGGGGTTTCTGTCATGGATGAAATGTTGCATATAGCCGCTCAACGTCTATACAGGAGAGACCGCTGCGGTCAAATGCGTATATAATCGCGTTAAACTTTGCATGCATTGGCTCAACGTTTATAGACGAGACGGCACTGCGGTAAAATGCTTAACTGCGTATATAACCACGATCTATACCACACATTCTCTTTCTGACATGGACCTTCTAGCGCATCCAAGCTGATCCGCTAGAAGAAGCACTGGCTCTGTATTTCACCGACCATAAAGCAGTAATAATGAAGTCGAAACGCAACCCGGAACTCAGCACTACCTATGAGCAATAAATAAAAATCAGCACCATCAGCACTACCTATGAACAATAAAATCAGTATCATCAGCAGCACCAGAGCTTCGCCCCAATCAACATCATTCACCACGTGGAGATGCGGCGTCTTTTTTTAAAAAATAAACCTGCTTTAGTTAAAATTAGGCCCCCTTTGTAGTTGGCAATGAACAAGTTTGATCGTGTGTACATAGATGAGAATACAAAGATACAGCAGAATATCTTACCATATAGGTTCTCCTTCATTGCACATTTTATTGAGATGTATCTACATAAAAACTCGTATTAATTTTTAACACCCAATTGGAGTCAAGCAATCAACACCGCATTATGTTTGTTGTTTTGTTAAAACTGGCCACTTGTTTTCTTTTTGATTGCTGTCAAGTGCCAATTACCGCACAAAATTATGTTCAGTTAAGAGAATTCAGGTGGATAAATTACTGTACTGTTTTTTCTTGACCTCTACCAAGGGACCAGAGCCAAGCCTGGATGTCATTTCAAAGCTCAAGTACCTCCATGGGGTTGTGTCAGAATCACTGAGGATGTTCCCCCCCGGAGCGAGGTACTCGTTTGCTGTTCCCAATCGCATGTTCAGTCGATTCAATATATGCGTGCTTTTGGCCTTCGCGCACGTTCGCCTTCAATGTTTCAGGCTGGAGCGATGTGCGGCTAGCGACTACGTTCTGGGTGAGACCGGAATACAAGTTCCAAAAGGCTGCGTGGTTGCCATACCCGTCTACGCAATGCATCACGACCCGGAGAACTTTCCCGATCCAGAAACTTTTGACCCAAACAGGTGCGTGCAACATAGTGATCTTTCGTTTATATCTTTTTATGGTGATATCTTCACTGTATAACGGCAACTCATGGCATCGGAGAAAACATGAACGTACACCTACACTTTAAAAAAAAAGCCGTGCGACTGCTTTCCCGCACAGCACTCGGAGAGCCAATCGCCACAACCTACGGAGGCAGCTCAGCGAATGACGATGCCGAAACATATGTTTAGACCAAAAAATGCAGTCTGAGTTATGACATTAAACAATGCAAACGTGGCGTTTTGCATTGCTTAATGTCACAACTCAGACTGCGTTTTTTGGTCTAAACAGATGTTTCGACATCGTCATTCGCTGAGCAGCCTCCGTAAGTTGCGGTGATTGGCTTTCCGAGTGTTGTGCGGGAAAGTAGACGCACAAATGTTTTTAGAGGGTACTGTTATTCGCAGATTTTATTATGTTAATATTTGGTGAGAACCAGTTGTGTCCAGATTGCACGTGGGTAGAGCGGTACATTTCGGCGATCACTGTGTGATCTAGAATTCTTTACATCGCAGTATTTGAGTCATATTCTTTATGGCATTTTCCCAACAGGTTCAGTGAAGAGAACGTTGACAGTATTCGGCCGTACACCTACCTTCCCTTTGGAGCGGGACCTCGGAACTGCATTGGCAGGAGGTTCGCTCTCGAGGCCGTCAAGTTGTCCCTCCTGCATTCCGTTCACAGTGTCGAATTTGTTCGTACAAAAAACACAAAGGTAAAAACATTTTTTTTTGTTATTTTTTATTGTTTACCACACGCGTAAAATAAAAATAAAAACTTACTTGTATGTTCTTTCCAGGTACCCCTGGAATTTGTCGTTGGGTTTGGGGTTTTCAACGCCAAGAATATCACCGTCGGAATCAGGAAGAGGACTACGTGAAACATTTCAAATTTTAAAGGGCAACTCCGCTTCATTTTTGATATTTAGAAAACTATGTAGCCCTCTTCAGTATCATATAGGAAGACCCCATGTCAAATATTACGATCTAATTCCGTCTATATATTTAATAAACTAGCCAGCAAACTTTGAAATCAGCCAAGTCGCCGAATTCTGCCAACTCCAGCGTGCGACGTGAGGCGCAATCGTTAGCGCAGTCAATGCGACGGAGTTGGAGCAGCCAACATTGAGCCACTGCGTCGGAGGCATGACTACGTCATTCTCACGTTTTGTTTGTTTTCACTTCTGAGAGCGAAATTGAACGATGACGTCATGAGTTTCTCCTCCCGGTGTTGGCTGAGCGGCGTCCTCGTGATCACCGTAACGCGGATGCGCTAGTTTGCGCTGCCCTGCGCGCTTATCAGTCTGTTTCGACGCTCCCCTTCTCCTCTTTCGTCTTCTCCCCTCTCCCCCGGGCCATCACCGTCCACGCCATGCGAAGCGACCTGCCCGCATCGCGTGTCCTGTTCCTCGCCCCCACGAACGTCACAAGACCGCGTGGTTCGACGTGACGTGGCCATGACTCTGACGGCACGAGACCAACGTTGCCTGACGCAACCGAAGTTTCGGTTTCGGTATCAGCTGATGTTTAAATTAAGATTACACAAATAATATTCCACATTTCGCTAATCCGAGGACGTAGAGCTGTTTAGTAGTGCTTTGTGAAATGGAATCACATGTAAGCCTAAATGTTTAGGAATTGAGCGGAGTTGCCCTTTAACGTATGTTCAAACTAATCAATTTGTGTTCTCATGGTTGCAGGGAACCGTACGAACGTTAGCAGAGTCATTTATTTGAGTCCTATTTTATCACCGATGCAATCGCCTTGTGTGTGCACCTTCGACGAATAAAGAAATGGAGTGTTACTCGGCTCTGTAACTTGAAAGTGAAATCAGTGAATACAGTTCTGTCATAAATAGAATCCGACGTTTGGTATGATCTGAGTAATCGAAAAAAAAAAAAAAGCTGCTATTGGGTTACAATTGGTCAGGGACATACCAGCTGCCACGAACCGGACAAAAACACCGACAAATTGAAACGAGTGTTCTCATATTCTGTTGCTGTAAAAGTAGTGTCGAAAAATTCTCGATCATGATCCACCAGCTAAAAGCTGAGTACTTGCGTTACCATTAACGCGAGGGGGAACCTCTTAATAGGGAGTTTTCGTAGACCGCGCTGCCTCCTCCGCTAAGCGTTCCGCAACGAAGTTGATACTGCGCCGGCGCGCCGATAGCCTTGACTGTGGAGTTCCCGCTATCGTAGCGGGTTGCGGAGGGCCCTTGCGGGAGGGCAAAAACGATCTACGAAAACTCCCTATTGTCGCTCACGCCGCAAGACCACTGTCAGACGGGCACGTTGAAGAAACTCCGTTAAACAATCGGCGAATCAGCTCGACATTTCGTGCCCATGCGTGCGCTGGTTCGTTCATCTTTTAAGAAGTTCGCTCTGAAGACCTTTAGCCTTCCCGACTAGTCTTACAATCGCCACGTAAACTAATAGTACTAATAATTGTGCAGCATGAGAGACCGGCGAACGAAGCAGGAAGCGTGATCATGATCAGCCACTCCTTAAGTTGTCAGGGACTATGGCATCCTAAGATGAATGTCGCGGTGTAACTGATCTCAATCGGGGAACCAGATCATCACTAATCGCGGTACGGGCACACGGAAGAAATGATGGGGAGAAATGGTCTGGCCATGGTTGAAAGCGTCAGTGAGCACGACGGGGAAGGAGAATCATGAAACCTGAAAGGGGACGACAATATTTCGAGACGCGTTAAATGTATAAAATACCAAAAACCGCTTCTGGCTTCAAAGAAAAAAACGAGTACCTTTGCAAACAACTCGTGGCCTTCAAGAGTCGAGAAAGGAAATTTCCTTTCCCCGAATGTGTCTTTTTTATTTATTTATTATGCCTTTCTAAAATGCTTATGGCTGAAGCCATCGCCCCCCCCCCCCCCGGCCCCCTCTTTTTTCTCCCGCTTTATGCTTTTTTTTTTCTAGGCTACTTGGGGAGGGGGTGAATCGCCCCCTCCTTAACCCCTTGTTTCAGCGCCTCTGCCCAGAAAAGTTCCAAGTACTTGGAGGAACAGTACAGCGTGCAATTTTCGAAATAATGTTTCCAGAGGTTCCGGAATTAAACAGATTGGCGTTCCATGAACTCCCGAGCGGCCATGGCAGACTGGCGAGCGAGAGGCTCGTGCCATGGCTTGTAGTGTGTAGACGCGCTCATTGGCGTCCTTTCTAGTTCCTACCTGTGGCGCCAGGCCACGTGGCGTCAGGGTTATCAGCTGAAAACGACAAATTCGATGGTGCGTGATCGAATTGACGGTGACAAGTTTCTGTACGATGGAAGATTGAAGTCATTGCGTTCTCAAAAACAGCACCGACAATACTGACAACCCTACATCACTCTCATTTCCTTCGATGAAAGCGGAATTACGCCCAGTTTGGCTAAGCTTGGAAAGCCGCCCACACCGATGTTTTTGGTCGTGTACGTGTCCAGGGTCGCTAAACCCGTCAAACACAAAGTTGGGGCCAAAGTTCGCAGAGTGTTCTGATTGGACTCTCGCGACGATGGCGTCTCGCGGGACGACATGTCAATCATCCAGACACTCGGTGCTCAAATTTAAAGGGGCCATGAAACGAATTTCGTGTTGGGATGATTTTAAATTGGGACTTTACTAATCGCATATCGCTTAGTGGGCCAAAAGAAAGAGGCTAGAAAGTCAAAAGCCAACTTTTCGGTACGAACATTTGAAAATATAGCCGACTATTTTGTACCTTCTTGCCTTCAAAAGCTCTCCGCCTTTTCATTATGATAGATCCGCGGTTCCCAAAGCGCGTCACCGGCGCCAAACTGACGTCAGCAGAGCCCAGCTCACGCATTGGACACGAGAACTGCGTCACTCGAACGTATGCGCTCGTCAACAATCAATCCGTCGACGAATATTTGGATTCGCGTTCGTGGCCAATGAGTGCCCTGACGGAGTTTATTGTCACTGGGGAATGACAAGTTCTATGGTGTGCATAAAAAGCACCGTGGAAGCTAGGAGTCATCGCACCGGTGCCGAAGGAATGTCACTACCACGTGATTTCACAATTCGCATTTGAGTTGAGGATTAAAGCTAAGGAGGAAGAAGCAGGAAAATCGTTTCATGACCCCTTTAAGCGAGATTGCGAAACGCAAAGTCGTAGTGAGCTTCGCCGGTGCGCGCGCGAGCAACACCGTGGGACCAGCCGATAGTAAAGCCCCTCTATCCTGGGAAAAGTGGCGCCATTCATTGTTGTTGACATGCTCGAGACACGTGCCGCGCGCCACTTCCGGGAAGAACATGGCGTCCGAAATGTCGCTCAGTGCTGCGCTACAGTCTAGCTGCGCTGTGCCGCCATGATCTTCCCAAGGGCTGCACGTGCCTCGTGCATCGACGCACCTTGCGCCACTTTTGGAACATGAAGGGGCTTTAGCCGATCGAACGGCTGCACTGGAGACGTCGTGCCCGCGTGTCCCTACATCCCTACGCTGCGTTAGAGCCAATGCTGTTTCGATTGTCCCTAGGCAGGCTGTGAATACTCGGAACTTTCTCATCGCGAGATCGTCGTTTGTGGAAGTTTTTGGGGACGACCAAGCGGCGTTTCACAACTTTGGGAAGGAGTTATTTGAGGCCAAAATCTTTGCTTCGCAATCGAGCCGAAGATTAAAATCTGTGATATCGTGGAGCCATGCGCGGCGTACGCCCGGCTTTAGAGCTCATCATCCACCAGTGTCAACAAAGCTACCGGGGTCACCAAGAGACGGTTTATGTGGGTACGTCAGTAGTGTGTGAGAGATGAGGCGACGGGGGATGGCGACGAAAAACCGAGGGAAATAAAAAAGGGGACGATTAACGCTCAAATATGGGCGAGGAAGTGCCGTAGCAAATGTTAGGGAAAGAGAGGGGTAGTGAAGAAGGGGATATTGTCACGGGTGGTGACCAAAACAACAGGAAATAAACAGGAAGAAATAAACGTTTAATGTGGCGAACTTGTGCCAAAAAAAAAAATAAAAGGGTACAAAAGATAATAACAGAGCGTCGCGGGCGTCGAAGTCGGCGTAGCAGCAGAGTCGAACGCTGGGGCGAAACTGACTCCGCTCGCCTTGCGGAATCCCTTATGTACCCTCGTGGGTTTCTGGATCGTTCGGCGTAGAAGGTTCGGCGCGTAGAACATTCTAACCTCGAATCAGCAAGACGGTTCTTGAATTCACCAGAACATCAAATGACACTGTCAACAAAAATGTGTAGCCGCGGCCAGGAATCGAACCCTGGCCTTCTGCGTGGGAGGCAAGCGCGATAAGCGTTAGGCCACGCGCGCGCTGCCTACTTGGCCGGATGCGCGCGCGGCAATATCCCTTCTACTGATTTTTTTATTACACCGTTCTGAGATATATGGGCACTATATTGAAGGCTATGGTCTGGGGCTGGTGCGATAGCCTCTCCCCCCCCCCTTCCATTTTTATACCCCTTTCCCCCTCTTTCGATGCCACTTGAGGGGGGGGGGGGGAGTCGTTCCCTTCCCCATCCCCGTTTCGACGCCCCTGCTTAGAGATATTTCAACTGAACAGCGCAGGGTGCAATTTTTGAAAATAATGGTTCCAGGGGTTCTGGAATGGAAATCGTTTGCGTTCCATGATATCAGGAGCGGCTGTACCGACTTTCAAGAGAGAGGCTCGTGCTAGGGCTCGTAGTGTGCCGGCGCGTTCGGTGGCGTCCTTTTAGAGTTTCTCTACTCCTGCCTAGGGTGCCTTCATGTGCGCTTTGCTTAGGGTGGAGACATCTGGCCATTTGTTTCCACCTTTACATTTATTTTTTGTTCAGAAGCGCGTGAAAGAGCGTGTCCCTGCACGCGTCTGTGGCGCTGACTGTGCTCTGGCGACATTTTGTTTTTGAGACGTCGTCGTGTTTCTTCCACCCAGTCTCAGGTGGTCTAAAAAAATGGTAATTTTGTTTTCGTCAATTTCTTTGTATTTTCCCCGAGAGTGCGTCAAGTCGGCATCGGGCACTACAAAGGGTGGCATCACTCTAAACAGAAGGTCACTGCGGCACCCTACCCCTGAC